TTTGCTGTCTACGAAGTGAAATATTTATCTCCATGAAAAACTGGTATATTTCACAACCATCAAAGCTCCTAATATAATAAGTGAGCCAAAGAACTGATGGTCTCAAATTGTAATGCTGGAGAAGACTCTTGAGAGTCCCCTGGACAGCAAGGAGATCAAACCAATCAATCCTAAAGGAAATCAACCCTGAAAAGTCATTGAATGGACTGATACTGAAGCTGAAGCTCCAATACTTTGGCCACCTGATGCAAAGAGCTGACTCACTGGAAAAGACCCCAATGATGGAAAAGACTGAAGGCAAAAGGAGAAGAGGGCAGCAGAGGATGAGATGTTAGATAGCATCACCAACTCAATGGACATGAATCTGAGCAAACTCTGGCAGACAGTGGAGGACAGAGGAGCCTAGTGTGCTGTAATCCATGGGGTTGCAAAGAGTCAGACATAACCGAGCGACTAAATAACAACAAATGTTATGCTTATTACTATTGTGTTAGTACTATTTGTTATTTCTGCATTTATTACTATTGCTATTTTAAGGATCAACTAAGGTGAAGAGAATGCATGTGTTTTATAAAAGCTAAAGAGCTTTACAAACATGAATTATTATTAATAAAGCAAAGTGTCAGAGTAGGATTTACCCACCCACTCATTAAGACAGAGAAATTGTGACTGAGGAAAAAGAAAGAATCACCTGATTTCATGAAACCAGAGATCACAGACTTACAGAAATAAAGTGGAAAAAGAAGTCTACAACCCCATCCATCCTAATATTAATATTAACCGTATCTTTGGCTAATTCCATTTGACTTCCTGGTAGCATGGGAAATAAGGCTGACATTGCAAAATTCCAAGTTGCAGTACAGCTATCCAAGTTCCAGCACAAATCATTGACTTTTTTTTTTTAAGATTTATTTTTAAGAAGCCCCTCTCATGGGTTCAGCTGAGCTAATCTGAGCTCAAGGCAGTAAAACACTCCAAACTTGGAGAGATAAACACTGATGTAGTCCAGTTTTAAAATTAACTTAGCTAAACTCTTCCCAAGCTTGGAGAATTCCACTTTGGTTGTGAAAATGCAGCCAGAAAAAAATTCCAAACTAAATGCTGAAGAACTTCTTAGAATAAACCAAAGGCTCCAGATCCTAACCACAGGAACCAGACTTTCCCACATGGAATTCTGCAACTCAGCGCCACCTATCACAGGCCCTCAATTACATCTTCTCACAATCATTTATGCATCCCTCCAGGCACACACTAAAGCCACGTTGGAGGTAAGCATTAGGTGATGACTACAGACATTCTACCCATTGCCAGCTCAAGTCTCAACCACTAATGCAGCCCACAGAGAACTCTTCTTTCTCTTCTCCAAATCCCCTTAGACCCGAAGACTGTGTGCCTGCTCAGTCGCTTCAGTTGTGTCCGACTTTTTGCAACTCTATGGACTATAGCCTGCCAGGCTCCTCTATGGAAATTCTGGCTCCAAAAGTATGGGTAGGACCCAAGCATCAATTTCAAAAAAGAACCATTTAAGAGTCAGATGTGTAATCTGGGTTGGGAACAATTAACAGATAGTATTCTGTGACGTGGTAGATACTTTACAAAGATTTAGTTTCACACTCATTCCTGCCACCTTCCAGCTGTAAGACCTTGATAAATTTACTTTTCTCTAAGCTTTAGCCTCTCCAACTGAAAATGAATTGTTAAAGATACCATATCAAACAGGAAATGAGGTTTCCCTTTTAAAAAAATTCATATTTCTGTAATGTTTTACAGTTTAAAAAATGCTTTGATATCCACTACATGAAATGACAATAGCCTACTCATAATATGGGATGACTGGAAATATAATTATTCCCACCTTACAGTTAAGGATACAGGGATTAAAATAAACAGGTAAAAGGACTTTAAAAAAAATCACAGATTTAATCAGTGTTAGAGGTAGGACTCAATCGGGTTCTCTAAATTCAATTCTAGCTCATTACTCTGTAGCAGGTATAAATTCTCAAATAATTTATGAAGGGCATACTACTTCAAAGACTGCCAACACTGCTATGTATCCCTCTAGGACTAAGTCAAGCACAAAGCATCAGGTCAACAAATACCTATTGGTTGAATGAAATCAAGCTGAATATAATTTCCAAACAAAGGGAAAAAACTCATTTATTTCATTTTGATGCATGCATTAATTACAGCCATCTAATAGGGCTTCCCGGTGGCTCAGACAGTAAAGAATCTGCCTGCAATGCAGGGGACCTGGGTTTGATCCCAGGGTTGGGAAGATTCCCTGGAGAAGGGTATGGCAACCCACTCCAGTATTCTGGCCTGGAGAATCCCCATGGACAGAGGAGCCTTGCGGGCTACAATCCAAAGGGTCACAAAGAGGTGAACATGACTGAGTGACTAGGCACAGCACAGCAAAGTATTAAAGCAAAGGAATAAAACCTATGCGTTTAGGGTATGTATAGGAAATCCAAAACTAGGGAGTGAAAAAGAGGCCACCAGATCATTTCACAAGAACTTCTCATAACTATATGCTTTCTACCTCTACGCTTTGAACTTACAGAAAACTTCTATGCTTTGATCTTGAGCTATGAGTTTTATTTTCAGAACAGATTTGGCATAGGGTTACTCAACAAGGATTTCTAGAAGAACTTCTGCAATCTACAGCTTTATTGCTGATCAAAGTACTTCACAATGGCCTAGTTTTGTTTCTCATAATATACAACCTGATCCCACTTCATATTTATACCTCATTTACATAATTATAGGATTTCAAAACTGTAAGAGACTGTATTTCAACTTGTTTGACCTATTTTTTATCTTTTAATTACTTTTTATTGAGTAAAAGATTCTTTAAATTCTACAGCACTTTATGATTTTCAAAGGTTTCACACACATGATTTCATATAATCCCATAACAACCCTCTTCCTTCTCCCCACTGGTATCACTAATGTGATCCCTATATCTGTGTAGCTGTAACATTTTAGATAAAGGCACTTAAGTTCACAGCCAATACCTGACCCAAACCAGGTAGCCAATTTATGAGAGAACCAAGACTATAACAATATCTAGATCTCTACCTCCCCATTCAATACATAAGGTCATCTCCTCAGTTCTAATGATGTTTAAATGCCTCCATCAGCTGTTGTTTTTTTTTAACAGAGTTTTACTGAGATAAAATTCACATACTATAAAATTCACTCCGAGTGTTAAATTCAATGGCTCAATATGTTCACAGAGCTGGAGAACCATCCCCACAATTTTAGAACATTCTCATGACCCAAAAGGAAACACCTGAGAACCTACTGTATAGCACAGAGAACTCTACTCAGTGCTCTGTGGTGGCCTATATGGGAAGGAAATCCAAAAACGAGGAGATATATGTGTATCTTTAGCTGATTCACTTTGTGTACAAGAGAAACTAACACAACATTGTAAAGCAACTATACACCAATAAAAAGTAAAAAAAGAAACTCCACACCTCTTAGCCATCACTCCCTAATCCCATTCACCAACTCCTACAACCCTAGGCAATTATTTTTTATCTATGAGTTTGCCTGAATAATTCATATAAACAGAATTATATAATATGTGGTCCTTTGGGACTGGTTTCTTTCACCAGTTTTCAAGGTTCACCCACCTTGTAGTATGGATCAGGGCTTCATTTCTTTGTTACCAAATATTATTTCTTTGTATAGATATATAACATTTTATTTACCCATTCATCCTCAATGAATATTTGAGCTGCCCCTGCTTTTTGGCTATTATTAATAATGCTGCTACAAGTATCCATGTACAAGTTTTTGTGTTGACATAATTTTTCATTTCTAGGTCATATGGGTAATTCTTTATGTATTTTTTATAAGTTCCTTATCAGATATATGATTTGGGAATTTTTTCTCCGACTCTGTGGGTTTTCTTTTCACTTTCTTAGTGAAGCACAAAAATTTTAAATCCCAACCTTTCCTAGACACAGGAAACTAAAAGTCAAAGGAGTTAACTAGACATACTTAAGGTTAGAGAGCTATTAAGTGATGAATCCAGGATTTGAACCAGGGCTACCTAAGTGAGAAGCTCATGATAACTATTTGTAGACAAAAGGGCAATTTTTTCAGCATGCCATAAGAAACGTGGCATAAGAAACAAGCCCTACAAACATGACTGAGAACTTTACTTCATTTCAACAGCCACTTACATATCTGGGTAGTCAAACCAAAGTCATTTATTCTTGTGGACAAACTAACCCTCTATTTCACTATCTTATTCATAGGATATCAGTGACTTCATTAGATACACGGTTAAAGTCCTGATTATTCTAAAAGCTTTGTTCATAAAGAGGAAATGAGCCCTGGCTGGACTACATGGTTTGTGGGAACTTAGTTCCCCTACCTGGAATTGAACCCAGGCCTCCAGTGAAAGTATCAAGCCTTAACTGAAAGTGTCACACCTTAACCACTGGACTGCAGGGAATCAGGGAATTCCCTAGCATTACTTCTTCTTAGTGAAGTCATGTTGAGGCCTACTTTTTTTTTACCTCAGCTATTACTTGTCTTTCTTACTGATATTTAATCCCTAAATCTGGGTTTAAGTCTAGGATATATGACTAAAGAAGAACCAATCAAAAAATCTGGAAAGAAGACCTTCCAAATGAAACTAGTTTTGGGAGAAAAAATTTCCAAATGAAGACATTTCAATATTTCTCATATTTTGTGAGGTCATGAACTCAAAAAGTAAGTAAATTCAGATTGACTGAGATCTAGCAACAGCATTAATTATTTCCCTCAAATTTTGCTCAGATATAATTAATAGAGTATAAAAATGGGTCTATTTTCTATTTGACTTCAGTCATTTCAGGAAAAAAGACAAAGAAACTATTTAATGAGAAAAAGGGGGATTAAAAGAAAATTAGGAGAAAGAAACAACAAATATTTTATTCAGGTTACCAAAAAAAAAAAAAAAAATGTAAGTATACAAACGATGAGAAAGAAATGAAATACTGTACTTTTATCTCCAGGTAAGATGGCTCGGTAAAATCGGTCCTTTTTTTTCTTTTCCTCTGGGTTTGGTGGCAGAGGTTTGGAACCGTGGTTTAGGGTTCCAGAGTCTTTGCTGCCAGCTCCAATCATAGTGCTGGTGTTTCTCATCGGAGGGGCTGGAGGTTTGTCTTGAGTGTCTAGGCCGTTATTTGACATCGTCACCACCAGCAGCAGCTACTGGAATCAGAAAGAAGAACAAACCTCTTATTTTTGAGCAAAAGGAAATACATTTTGGAAATTTTAGAAAAATCCAAATTTTACAACCCTTTCTCCAGGGCTCACCTCAAGCCCTTCTACTGCATTCCATGACTACTGCTATTTTATTTAGTTCACCATACTCAAAGATGGAATACGTACTCAATCCTAAGCACTGCTGAAAATTCACAAGGTTCTTGCTTTTCTCTTCATTCTCCTAAGGCATTCCAAAGTACAAAAAACCATAATGATGTGGTTTAAAAGGCAGAAATTTGGCCTAGCTAAACTGAGTATGAATCCATGTGCTACGTACAGGCTTTAGAGAAATTCCTTAATCACTTGGTTTCCATTTATATATTCACATGAAGATTACCAACAGAATTCTACATAGTGAGTTCTCTGCCAAGCCTTAATTTCATTGCCTTAGAAAAATCATTCCTTCTCTGGTAGGAACTGTATTACTATATCAAAGGTCAGTAATACTGCTGGCTTTGTAAATGGTTTTACTGAAACACTGTCACATCCATTCATTTACCTATTTTCTATGGCTTCTTTCATGTTCCAATGGCAAAGCAGAGTAGCTGTAACAGACCTAAAATATTTAGGTTGTTCACAAATCTAAAATATATGCTATATGGTCCTTTACAGGAAAAGTTTGCTGACCTGTGACCTTTATCATCATCTCTCCAGGATCTCCTTCCACTAAAATTTGACCTTGTTCTAAATACACGATGATCAACGCACAACCATCTTATCCCACACAGCACTGAATTTACAGGCGATTTCTAATGCTTCTGAGAAATAGAAGGAATAAAATCTAAAAGAAAGCAGGAAAAATCCCCATCATATGGAATCAATAGCTTTAATGAATATAGATGTTATTACCTTAAATAAGTAGGCTTGACAATAGATATAAATATATCCAAAGTTAATAAAGTTTTTCATTATTCTTTCATACTACAATGGAAATTATATCTTTAACCATGACCATTTAGAATGTATGCTCCTTAGAGTGAAATACAACAGTGCTTTAGAAACTACAGTTTCTAATTATTAAAAAAAAAAAAAAGCATAATAATCACCAAGAACTTTTCAGAAATACAAATGTATTTGTTTGACCCCCATAAATTCTGATTTAGTATGGCTGGCCATAATTAAGGCCAAAATTTTATAATTTTAAAACTTAGTGATCTCAGTGACTGCCAGAATTGAATACCACTGCTTTAAAAGTCAATTACTTCAATGCTATGGACAAAATTAATGTATTATAGTACTGGAGAAGACTCTTGAGTCCTTTGGACTGCAAATAGATCAAACCAGTCAATCCTGAAGGAAATCAACCCTGAATATTTATCAGAAGGACTGATGCAGAAGCTGAATCTCTAATACTCTGGCCACCTAATGAGAAGAGCCAACTCACTGGAAAAGACCCTGATGCTGGGAAAGATTAAGGGCAGGGGAAGAAGGGGGCAATAAAGGACAAAATGGTTAGATAACCGACTCAATGGACATGAACCTGAGCAAACTTCAGGAGATGGTGAAGGACAGGGAATCCTAGTGTGCTGCACTCCATGGGGTCGCAAAGATCAGACACAACTTAGCAACTGAACAACAACAACAAATGGACAAAATCTATAGTAGTCTTTTTAACATTTTCTAATAAATGCAGAGCTAAATGATCCCTCACATCCATTTTTTCCCCAAACCTTTCTCCACATGTCATCAATGACCTTAAAACACTCACACTCTACTCAAAACCCTTCAGTAACATTCCAAAATAAAAGCTAAAGTTCCTTAGCTTGTTTTGAAGGCCCTTCCATTATTTAACCAGTTCTACCCATCAGCTTCATTCCCCACCACTACCACTCTCTCTAATTCCCCTTACATTCTAGCCATACCCAACTTCTCTAACTTCTTTAAATATACTGCTGCTTTCACACTTTCATTCCTTTGCAAATGCTGTTCCCTCTGCTTAGAATGAATGCCAACTTTCCTATCCTCAAATTCACTCATCCTTCAACTGCTATTTCATCTAAGAAGCCCTTTTTAAATGTTCTCATCTTCAAGATGTTAAGGTCCCCTCTTTCAAACTCCCAAGGCAATGGGTATATTTCCAGGTTATCACATTTATTTTCACTGTTATGTTATAATTATCTTCACCAGGATCCAGAACGACATCCAAAGGTTAGGCACGATTTTGTCACCTTTGCAATCCAGAAGAGTCTACTATATCTGATTCACAGTGGATTCAATAAATATTTTTATTAATCAAAATTCTGACAGAGATATATAGCTTGCCTTAAGGAGATCAGTACAGATGAAATTTTAAGGTCCTTCACAGTCTGATAATGAACTGCCTCACAAACTAAGCCACCATACCTAAACACAGCTTACAGTCAAATTACACTTCAGAAATCTCTGTTCTCTTGAATTCGTCAAGTAGTCTCTTACCCTCCTCTTGCCCCATCCCACTTCCCCACCACCTAATGCTTCTTGTCGATGATTTCTCTCTTCTGACTGATGAAAACTTTACTCATCTTTTAAGGCCAAATTCAAGCTTCATCTATTTATATAATTCATCCTGACCTACCTCTGGCAAACCAACTGCTCCTTACTTCTCTTTTTGAACAAAAGAAATCAAGTAGCAAGGACAATCTTGTCAATCTAAAGCAACTCTCTGGGTGGTGCACTTTTTATCCATTTCTTCCAGTTTTGTTTTGCAGATCTGTCTTCATTTTCCCTCCCAAACCCCAATGCAAGTCCCTCAGCTCCCCCAAAGAGAACTTCTACCGGCTCAGTTCTCAAGTGTACCTTCCCACTCCAGACTGCCAGTTCCAAAATTACACTCCCTGCAGCCACCTGATACCCTCAGCAGGCCCTTCTTTGCCTCTTAAGTCCTTCAATCAAAAGCTTCATTGAATATAACTCCTTTTCAGGATCACATCCCAGGAACATGCCAAGAAAGGCTTCAATCTTTCTGATAATGCTTTTCTTCATTTTTCAGTTCTTCCACTGTGTTTGCTGAAGCTGAAACTCCAATACTTTGGCCACCTGATGCGAAGAGCTCATCATTTGAAAAGACCCTGATGCTGGGAAAGACTGAGGGCAGGAGGAGAAGGGGACGATAGAGGATGAGATGGTTGGATGGCATCGACTCAATGGACATGGGTTTGGGTGGACTCCAGGAGTTAGTGATGGACAGGGAAGCCTGGCATGCTGCAGTTCATGAGGTCGCAAAGAGTTGGACATGACTGAGTGACTGAAGTGAAGTGAAGAGACTGTGTTTGGAAAATTCCTGGTGGTAGATCTCCACTTTCCAAAATATTCTCAATTATTAAAACCTAAAATCTATTGTTGGAATACAACCTTTGGATCCTTTGTACAGCATTTCAGCCCACGTCATCTAGCCCATTACTTGAAAACCTCCAGTGATAAGAAATCTACAGTCTCACAAGTCAGCCTATTCTATCTTCAGTGATCTCATTTAGAAAGTTTTCATTTATATTAAGTTTTTATCTTCTCACATTGAATTGCAATTATCTGTTTATACATTTACCTCTCCCTACAATTCTCAGCCCTGGCAGACTTAAGATTATAAACTCAAGAATACTTCAGTCATTTCACAATCCCCAATACCAGTCCTGGCACAGAACAGGTAATCGGTAAAGATTTGGTAAACAAATGAACAAACAAGTGACCAAATAAAATAACAACAAATGAACAAATAAACATTACTTGCACCTATTACTCCTAAATCCTATCTCAGGGCAACTCAGAAAGGCCAACTGCCTCTTACTCAGATAGAAATTTAGGTACCTGAAATCATCTCTCAAGACTCCCCCAAAATCTATTTTCTCAATGCTAAACATTGCCAGTACTTTCAACAATACTCATAGAACACAAGTTTGTGCTTTCTTGAACCTTCCCTTTGAACTTACTTGGACTTAGTATTTCTATACTACTTTCCAGATTCTCTGAAGCCTTCCAACCAGTCCTTTCCTATGGCTTCTCCAGATGTTTTTACTCGCTTTACACTTCATAGATCCACTCACAGGTCATTTTGTTCATCTATACGTAGCACAATAATCAGAACATTTTAATAATCAGAACATCAGAAAAGAGCACAGTAGTCATAACCTACACTGTCATAAACTTTGTTTATAGGAAAACAAGTACAAAATTTCAATCCTGAGAGGAAAAAGAATTACACTTGATTCTTGAATATCATGACCAAATATATTATAAATCCTCTAGCAATCTCTGCAGGTCAAAGATTTGGGAAGATGACAAGCCAATGCCTTCTGACAAGCTGCAAGATAAAGCTAAGCCCAAGGCCAACATTAAGAATCAGAGTTCAGATAGCATCACTTATCTATCATAGATAGGGCTTCCCTGGTGGCTCAGAGGGTAACGCATCTGCCTGCAATGCAGGAAACCTGGGTTCAATTCCCAGGTCGGGAAGATCCCCTAGAGAAGGAAATAGCAACCCACTTCAGTACCCTTGCCTGGAAAATCCTATGGATGGAGAAGCCTGGTAGGCTACAGTCCATGGGGTCGCAAAGAGTCAGATAGATGACAGACAGAGAGAAAGACAGAACAACCATGTTTTACCAATGCTCCAGAGCCTCAGGGAGCCTAATAATTTATAAGCAACTAATTATACTGAAGTATTAATTATTAATCAACTGAATGACTCTATAATAAATGCAGGATCACTGTGAGGTTTCAAAAGGGCCACTGGCAGGGTGATAGAGTAAAAAGATGACTGGAGTTAAAATCAGATGAAATTTAAGTCCTGGCTCTGCTTTTCACTAGCTATAGTTCTAATAGAAGTCTCTATACCTATGAGCTGCAAATTGTTGTTTCCCATGAGCAGTCTCACAACAGATATGGGTCAAGAGGCAACCAAGGAGGGGAAGTGATTTATGTCTGTTTTTCTGTAAAAAAGCATATAAAAACAT